ACTTGTTTTGTAAACTTGAATGATTTATAGTTGAGTATGTTGTTTGATAATTAAAACTTAAATTAAGTTGCTAAAAAGAAAGATAACAGAAAGGAAATTTCTTACCTATCAACTTCCTTAAGAATATATAGATATTTTAGGGGAATTACAGAAAATACAATTAAAATAGATAATTAGTATTTTATTGGCTTATTAAATATTTGTAAATTAGAATTATTGGCTAAAAGATATAGAAAAGTTAAAATTTAGTTTTATTGGTTATTAAAAATTATTGGTTAAAACTAAAATTAATTCTTCAAATTAGATTATAGGATATTAAGAACATTGATATAATAAAAAAGCTCTAGAGGATAAATATAATGAAAATACCAATTAAATTAAAAGATATCAATAAAATTTTACCATAAGGTTATTTCAAAATTCACCAATAAGCAGAAATAAATTTTTAATTAATTTAAAATAGCCAATTGTTTTAAAAGTTAAAAATATGTTTTAAAAACATATTTTTTGCTTAAAAAACTGTGGATAAAGCTACAAATTGCCACATATTTAAATGAATTAGTTCAAAAGAAAAACCTAAAGAATTTCAAAATTCATCAATCAATTCGAAATATCTAGAGTATTTCAAAATAGTTTTGTTTTTTCGAATTAGTGCACTTATTTGTTTAAGGAATTGTATTTCGATTTAATAGCTCAATTAATTGACTCTTTTATTAAAATAACAAAAGCTCCTGACTTGGAACTTGGAGTTTTTGGTTGCAGTTTCTGTTCCAAGACAGCGGTTTTGATTTTTGTTCCAGAATTAAAATTTTACTTGTTTGCTTTTTTCAAGCTCTATTTTTTTCTACTGAAATGCTCTTGATCTCTCCCACACTTTTAATTTTTTTTTTAACCATCTCTCACTTTCAATTTTTTATACTGGCTTAAAACATCAGAATCCCAGAGTCGCCTAATTCACTTGTGCATTTGTGTAAAGATTTAATTAATTAATTTATCCTAATTCTATTCTAAACTTAATACAATGTTTGCCAGCTTTTTTTAGAGATCTCAGTTCTATGGATCCCAGTTGCACATATTGTAGGATTAAGCTTTTTTTATAGACATTCAGTAGATTTCAGTGTTTCAATTATGTACGCTTTATTGAATAATTTTTTTGTGATTTGAACCCAGAATTTACTAATTATTATTGACATATTTTATATAGTACAACCAAAGTCAAGTAGTTAATAGATTAGCATAAATATAAACTGCATTTTATAAAATGGAATATAAATTTCGTTTTAGAAAAAAAACTTTTTAAGATACTTTTTTTGAAACTTATTAAAAACAGGAAAACCAATCTATTTTCAGTATCTAATAACTAGTCTATTTTTTAGAGCAAAAGATTTGTGGTTTAAGTTAATCAGAGTACGGAGAGGCCTACTACATGACAAAAAAATCAACTATAATACCGTTTATGAATCTTTGCTTAATTTTATTTAATCATGGACATAAATACTGCAAGTTTTGTGATAATCTCTGAATCAGATTTGAATTCCATAATTTATTTTCAAAAGTATTCCTGTAGGAGTTTAAACTGTTTGTAGATGAATTTATTAGTTATTTTGATAATAAAAAGGTTCTTAGATGAGCATAAGTATAGAATTTCTAATATGTCATAGTTCAGTTTAAAAAAAGTAGTAAAAATAAAAATATTGTGGTTGAAACCAAATTGGAACCAATAGCAGGCGTTTAGTTTAAAGTTTTGGTTTCAAAGAGCAGAAAGGTTTTGGTTCCTCTAAGAAAGATTTTTTTGTTTTGGCTCCAGCAAGAAAAGCTAAAAAGTAAACATTCTGAACACCTTTTGTTCCACGTTTCTGAAAAACTTGAGCTACATATTCTATTTATATTAGATTATATGGGGGATTATTTGATAGATCAGAAATTTTAAATTCAACTCGTTTGTTCTTTTATATTCCTTCATTCTTTTGATATTAAGATAATTAAATGATATACTCTAGACAAAAATTTTGGTATCAACCAAATTATATATATAACTTTCCAGTCTATAATAAGATTTAAACAGTGGAATTTTTGTGATTTAAAGTTAAGTGTTCTGTCACGGTCCAATTAGTGATTACGTGACACGCCTCTTCCGATTGGCTATTCAGTGTCCGGGAAACACATTGAATAGCCAATCGGTTGTTTCTGGCACATTGACCCGTGTCAATGTGCCAGCTGAACACCTTTTTGCGATGCGCTGTATTTGCTATAAATACAGCGCCCACTTGCCAACTCATGTTTGGCAAGTGTTTTAATGTTGTAATTCCCCTTTAGTTTTAGTCTTCCTTTATAGTAATAAACCCCTCACACTTATAGTCCTTGACATTTATACTATTGGAATTTGAATGTATTCCATCCAGTGCCAATTATTTTTTTATGAGAGCATCACTCAAACTTTATGTGGCCCCTTTTTCTCGAGATTGAAAAACACAAATTGCTTTAACAATCGGACTACATTAATGCATTGATTTTATCAATCTTTCTTAATTCAAAAACCCGGTTTTATGGCTGCTATTTACAACACATACATCAAAAATGTGGTTTAAGTTTTTTGTTTACATAATGTGATACAAATGAATCAATTTATAATAAGAACTTTATAATACAAAGTTTTAAAAAAAGTGTTCTTTTTGATTGCAAAATTCAAATTTCCCTTTTCTCCCTTAATATATTAATTAATTTTTTTCTCTAATATAAATTTATAGTGTTTAAATTGACAAAGAATAAAAATAATGTAATACAAAATATTTTTGCTAAAGGAATGTGAGATTATCTTTTGACAATTCCCATTGATAATCAGAATGTAAAAAAACGTAATAGTAATGTGATTATATTTAAAAATGTTTCATAAAAGTTGGAGTTCTACAACCAATGAGTGATTATCAAATCACAGCTAATATATCTAAACTACCTCAAAAATATTATTACCTGATGATCATGTCACATAAAATCAGTGAAAATTTGTTAACATATTAATATTAGTTATCCAATGATGGACTAAATCAATATATTTTCTATAGTTTTTTTGCAATGGATTGTGAGTTTTACTGGAATCGGCTAATGACAGAAAAATTTTTTTTGTATCAATCCAATTGGTGGTATTTGTAGCTTGTAGTAAAGACTAAGGGTTGTAAAACGTTGTGCAAATGTTTATTTTACTTTAATTACCTATTTATTTTGAAATAAGTTTTGACATGCAAGCGCATGAGCAATAGAAAATATCTTTTATTCAGATAATAAATACTTGAAAACATATATTTGAATCTATATAACTCAATATACCTTAAACTAGTAGATAAAATTAGCAATAAGTTAAAAAAGTAAAATTATTGCAATATCAGTTTAGCTAAAAAGTATATTAAAAATACTTTTAACAAAATCATGAATTATAAAACAATGACGTGTATCAAAAATAGGTTTATTTGTTAGTTTATTTATTACACGGCATGCTAATTGGTGGGGTATAGAAAACTTTTTTTTGTACCTGGATTGATTGGCACGTTTTGCAATGCATTTCCGCAATGTTAATTGTTAATAATACTATTTAAGGTTTATTGAATTGTTTATTAGAAAAATCCTGCTTATTTTAATAAAGGAACAATAAAGATTTGCTCAGCCCAGGAAGCTGATTGGGACTAGAATCAATTAAAATTTGAATTGGATAGAATTTACTCTCATTTGCGGATAACATTGAATAAAATAGATTAGCCAATAACTCGCAACCAGATTGTTTATTTGCACAAATAATATTACCTTAATTAGAAAATATGAAATTGGTGTATAAATAAACACAAACCAAATAAAACAGCTCAACTCATTAAATGTCAAGGATTGGTATTTAAAATATAATATTAACTGGAAATAAGTATAACAAGACTAGAACAAACGGGAACTATAACTAAGAACTGCAGGGAACTATAAAACAATGACCGATGGGGTATCAATGAGGAATACAAGATTGAAGAACTTGAGGTTCTTCTATTGTGGAATGTATGTTCTTAATACCTTTGATTCCAAGCCGTGATGGTTGTAGTCACAAGACCTTTCTTTGTATCTTAGAAATACAAAGACCAATTTGTCTTTGTGAAAATAAAGAAACAGAGGGAGAATGGGAATCTTGTTTTCCGTTGTATTCTTTTTGAGTGTTGATATCTTACATTAAAATTGTTGTAATATTTCTTATATACGACGCTAGTTCAATATCCAAAAAAACTTATATGTATTGTATATAGGCTTTTTATAAAGTATAAGTTGTTTATTTCCAAATCGAATGAGTTTTAGACAAGATTTAACAAAAGAAATTAGTTTTTATCTTCTAAAGAACTGATTTGAATACTATTTTTTGGCTCACAATTTTACTTTTTCGTTTGACAATAAAAATATCTATTCCAAAAGCGCTGCACTGTTCGGATCCTTGGCAATATTTCTTGGCAATTGAAAAGGTTGCAGCAAGTCCTTGGCAATATTTCTTGGCAAAAGAAAACACTGCTAAAAGACAAGCACGCAATATTTCTTGGCGATTGTGCAATATTAATCATAGCTTAAAAAATTAAAGAAAATGTCTTGGCCTTTGCACCGAGTGATTTCTGCAACCACTGGGCTACATTCATTACTCTTTACAACCATGATTTCATACGACAAAAATGTTGTGTAAATAATGAAAAAACGAGGTTCTTTTGGGTGGTTTAATGCGTTTCTTTATTATAAGGTTAAAGATAATAAAAACCAAGGCATCTGTTCTTTTCAGTTTGCCTCTTAAATATATTTTTGATATAAAAATAACAACTATTAGCATCCAATCAAAACCACGTGGGATAGAAAATATTGAATATCCAATAGACAAAACTAATTATTGAGTATAATTGGACTACGTTAATCCATTGGCTAACGTTAATTGTCCTCGATTCTTTGAATCAAGGTTGTATGGTTGTTATTCACAACACATACAACAAAAACAAGCTCTCTTAGCTCAGTCGGTTAGAGCGTGGTGCTAATAACGCCAAGGTCACAGGTTCGACCCCTGTAGGGAGCAATCTCGGATAGTATAGTGGTGAGTATTCCAGTCTGTCACATTGGCGACCCGGGTTCAATTCCCGGTCCGAGAGTTTTCCGATATGGTCCAATGGCTAGGATTCCTCGCTTTCACCGAGGCGGTCGGGGTTCGATTCCCCGTATCGGAGTTAATTTTTTTGATAGATTGTCAATTTTATGTAAAATTCATTGGATTGATTTTTGTCTAATTTAAAAACAGCTTTTTATTTTGTATTTTTTTATTAAAACAAAATACTAGATTTATACAGTTAAACATGTCAATGTTGAATCTGACTTAACAGAAATATTAAATGTCTACTTAATAAAATGTTCAAATAAGACAATGTATTTTTAAAATATATTAAAGTTTTATATCTAACAAATGTATTTTATAAAGTTCAAAAAAAAATCAGTTAACTTGAAAGACATTTTTTCTTTATAGCGAGATGATATCTACTATGGACTTTCCTAATATACTTTGTTGGGTTTATTATTTATAAGTCACACTTACAATTTTTCTACATGAAAAACTGCATTTTTTTGTAGGGATAAAGTAATCTATATAATATTGTATACATCATTTGATCCTTGATCTAAACAGTTACCTTTTTAATAAGCTAGGATTATCTTTTATATTCTCACATAAAAAAAATGTTTTTCAAAATGGATATTTCACTGTTAAACCATTCATTAAAAATTTCCAAACCTTCTTGCTATCGTTATCTGGTAAAAATCCTCCTTTTTAAAACAATTTTATTGGCAATAAAATAAACTAAAACGAAATTGGTGAATTAAAATTTTAGATTTTATAAAATTAATATCCATTGCAAGTATATAAAAAACAGACAAAAAAAAGTTGTGTTTTGTTAATCCTTTGGTAGCAAAATGTAAATTCTAAAATATTCTAGTGAAATAAAACTGAAAATATTTAAAAATAATAAATAAATGTTCAACTAAAATAAAAATAGTGAAAAAATAAAAAAATTCACATAAATAAAAAGTGCTTGACTATTAACAAAAAATCACTTTAAATCAAAAACACTTTACAACTGTCAACTTACACCAATAACACTCTTAACTTACAT